AGACATATAACATTTTTATAATATTATCAAAACTCATTTGTAACACTATACATTATGACTTGTGAAAAAAAAACAAGTTTAAGCCTCCACTTTACACCTATAGACATGTTGTAATCATCTTTTTAACTATATTTGGGTTTTTGTGGATCTATTGTGACTTTATTGATTGTTTAGTTTAACTGTGCTTTTTTATTTTTTTTGGATGTAAGAGTATGAATGCTGTCATTGTGAGACTATAAATTATTCTTGTCATATTTTTGACAATTACCCGCCACATCGTGAGCGCAGTTAAACCATCACAATTTGTACTTGGTCTAACTTAATAAAGCATGAGGGTGCTCTTTGTCTACTTAAAATAACTCATTCCTCTGGTCAGGGATGTGCTGCTGTACAGCCACAGCTCTGGAGCCAGCTGCTCCCCCTGCTGACACCACAGAGTCAGGGGGAAGGTTATGTGATCAGGAGCTTTCAGTTTTTTGGTGTGCGATTTCCACCATTAATTATATAGCATTATGACTGAGTGACGGTATCCATGAAAACCAAAGGTTTTGCACCAAATTCCACCTCCTGATCACCGTGCACCTGCCTCACGGCGCAAAGAAGCTCCGAGCTGATATCCCTTATGAAAATCAGTCCCAGGTAGAAAATAATATTCTCATGAGTCATATTCTAAGCACCTCCAGGGACAATGACATATTCCTCTGCCACAGATAAACACCTAAGGGGAAAGTGAGGAAGATTATTAAAAGTTTTTCTTATTGCGTTTTATTTATGGCTCTAGGGGGAGGCTGAAATGCTGGATTCAAATGTAATAAGGAAGGTAGCGATGTATCAGAAAATCACTACTCACAATTGAACCACTGAACAGGCTGTGATCCAGGACACTTCAGTGAGGACATACAGTACATACTGTTTTCTTAATTGAATCTTTAACCTTGTCTCTGTACCTAAAGCACAACCTGCTCCCACCAAAAAAAAAAAAAAAAAAGTCTCTCTGCCAGCGGATCAAGCAAAGTGTTTGTAATCACAGCCATTTTCAGATGCCAGATAGGAACACAGTGTTCTGGCTCAACAGGAATGTGGAGTGCTGAGGCTCTGTGGGGACCCAGGTGGGACAATCTCCACCTCCAGACGCTGATGCTTTGTCTGTCGGGCCCCTGCATCATCCACACTCAGCCTTTTGAAAAATTGCTGAATCTCATGGCCTCAATCTGTTCTGTACTTCTGAATATAATCTTGACCTCACATTCACCGCCTTCGTCAACAAAGATCCACGGGCCTCTTCCAGTAACCTCGTCACCCTTTTCAAATTAATACATTATTCCGAAAACGCTTAATCTAAAAAGCAATGTATGGTTACTTAAAACGAGGACCGCGTGCACAGATGGGAAATTATCCAAGAGCAGTAAAATCATTGTTTTGATGAGGTCACGGAATGAGAGATTTCAAATTACTGTGTTTCACTGAAAATGCTGACAGTATATTTAATGAAATGTCACATTTTGATGAATGATAGCAGCTTCTCTGAGCATGTTTAGTCATTTTATGGGGGCAAAAAGCACCACCTAAGTCACAGTTCGACAAACAAATTGCCCGATGCCTTGGTTATTTTAGTGTCTGAGGATAAGTGTCTGCAACTATTAAAAGACCTCTTGTTTCTTGCCCTGGAGGATGTTGTGCTTTCTTAGGCTCACAATGATAATCATCCATGGGAGATTAATTTCTGAAGAACCTGACAACATGTACACGATTGCAGACGTGGTGCGATCAGAACCCTTCTATTTTTACTGTGTGTAAATGTTTTACTGTTTATGGTTGCTTTTTCAGCGATCGTCACCTCAGTTAACCTTTCAGTGCGTTAAAACGTAAAAGAATGACGGCCTGTCGAAACGTGAAAGGTCTCTGCTTTGCTTACACATGGTGTAACGCTGAGCAGCAGCAAGGTTACGTCTTCTAATTCTAATTATATGCATTCCAATATTTTTTTTAATCTAACCTCATTTCAACCTGGTAAAGGAATCATTTAAAATGAGACCCTGAAGTCTGTTTCACTCTCTTCTGCTGGCGTTCTCATACAATCAGTCAAGCTAATACCTAAGATTTTATGCAGGACATGATTTCAAAGCTTTTATGTTAGCTTTGTAAATACAAACTTGTAACATGTAGATGAACCAACACAATGCATCTGCACTTCGTCTGTACTAAAAGTAATATTTAACTCAGTGAGGTGATTAGTGGACCATATAAAGGTTTAATAATTTATTCATTAGAAAGTGTGATAATGTCTTGCAATTTTTATGAATAGAAATTATATCAACATAATTAAATACCTCATTTGGTGCGTGATGCAGATGAGTTCCCAAGAGATTTGGTTGGAAGTAAAACTTATCAAACTTAAAATACACTTACAGAATGATTCCTATGACTACATATTAAACTATGTGGGTTTTAAATCAGATCAGATAACATACGTAGAAACAACAGTGAGGTGATTTAGTCAGAAGGAGTCAAAGGCAGCCTGCTGTAGGAGGTTACATGTGGAATGTTGTGGGTTGCTAGCACTATCTACTGGACAAACTGGGTAAATGAATGTCCAAAGAAACAAAGGAGGAGTCTGCAGTGTGACAATACATTAACTCCAATTAACATATGCTAAATATTTGATATATGGTGAAAGATTGTCCAAGGTTGATTTTCATACTTTAACCCAGGACTGAAATCTGCAATAACTGGCCAACTGTAAACATATGACCATTTGAAAAGTGTAACATTAACAATGTCAGTGTTACAATGTGAGATAATATGTAAAATATGGTGACTGGAAATCCATCCAAAGATCAGTGTGCAATTTTTAAATTACAGTTATATTATGCAAGAATTAAGATGTCTGTGTATGATGTTTTATGTTGAGAAAAGTCATGGAAGTAAAACCATTCAAAGCCACATAAAATACTTTGCTACGATTGATAATGTAAATCTGCTACTTGTTAATAAGCGGACCATAATAACTCCTAAAAATGTAAACAAAAACAAGTACTAAAATGCATAGGTGAGGATTTCAGAGAGGATGCAGGAGCTACATGCAGGGAGGATCTAAGTCTGTCCCCCTCAATAAAAAGATCAACGAGGCAGAGAACTTTTAACTAACACTTGGTCAGAGACGTATCAGTACCGCCGCCTTTTTTTCAGATTCTCAATCACAGACGTGTGTCATATGTTCTGAATGTGCAGAAAGTTTTGGAAAAGAACATAAATCCTGCTGAAACACATCCGACTTGTAAAAGTCCAGTGGACTAAATAGATGAAATTAAATTCATTAAGTTATCATTGGTGTGAAAAAGTGCCACATGCACATGTAAAGAAGTTCCTGTCCCAAACAAAAAGTACAAAAAGGACAGAAGAGTACCCTATTTGTGTGTATATTTATGGCCCAGCAGGGATGGTATTAGGTGAGATAAGGTAATCAACAGGACAATAAATATCTGTAAGCAATACAGAATGTCTCAGAGCCTTACTGCGTTATTTTTCATTATACATTAAATTGAAAACTAAGAAAAAAAGACATTTCTACCATAAAATCAAGAAAAGGCACACATTGGTGTATGAAAATGTACAAGATTGTAAGTTTGACACTCCACAGACTTAAAAGTTTCACGACTGGACCACTATTGCATCCAAAATATAATAAAACTAGCTGTTTTTTCAACATGTGAGTGGGATGTAGATCAGTCAGACTGAGATCAGGTGAGTGACTTGGTCAGTTGAAGATATTCAACCTCCTCATCCTAAAGAACGCTTTGGTCCTATGTTCTGGATCATTGTTCTGCTGAACGATGAAATGTCATCCACTGAGTTTTCATGCATTTGGATGAATCTCAGCACCCAGAATGCTTCTTTACATTCATCTTGTTGCCTCCATCAGCAGTGAAATCATCAGTAAACGCTGATGTGCCACCCTTGACAGCCATACATGCCTGAACAGAAGCACCACATTGTTTGACAGATGAGGCAGTGCTTCAGTCATGAGCTGTTTCTTTGTTTTCTAAACACTTTCCTCTTTCCATCATTTTGATAGAGGTTAATCTTTGTCCCATCAGTCCATAGACCTTTGTTCCATTTGTTCCCTTGTTTATCCTTCTCCCTTGCATGGTCACCTCTTTACTCCTCATATTGTCAGACAGCTCCTCCTCAGTCTAAATGTCAACTCTCAACTCTCCATCAACCATGAGCTCCAATGTGTACGAACTTGAAACATCACACAGTCAAGAAATATTTCGTAACTGATTCTTTTTGATCTCTTGCAGTTTTTGCTCACTGTGTGCTAAAAGGGCAAAAACAGTTCTTTGTATCCAGATGTAAACCTGCTTAGATTAAAACCTGCAACTTGGCAGTTTTACCAAGTATCCTTTATTTTATTTTAAACTGAATATGTCAGGGCACAAATCCTTAAGAATAAACGTTTATGCACATTTGAGGAACAACAAACCATACAAGTAACCAAATAGCAATGTATTTACATGTAAAGTAAAGTAAGTTAATGACTCCAAGAGAAAAACTAAGCAGCATTGCTGATGAAACACATCATATGAACAATGTTTCCTACTAATGTTTTCCACAGTCTGGCATGCTGTTTATGATCGAGTCTTATTGGGGCTCAGAAAGCTTTAGCTAACAGTTCCGTTTATTGTGCTACCAAGAAACTGCTCCCATCAGAGCACAGCCTGGGTCTCTGTGGAGCACTAACAGGACAGCTGGATGATGGATCCCATCAAGTGCAACTGTCAGTCACAAACTCAACTGTCCTTCCCAAGCCAAAGCTATGTCCTGTTGTTATTCTTGGGCCTCAGTAATGGGGTATGTGTGTTTGGCTATTATCCCTAAATCTCATGAACTCTGACAATGGTGGCGAGAGAATAGTCCTCTTTACCTGGGTCTCTGCCTAAAGAAGGCATGGAGTATTTATAACCCATAAGCATGCGCCATTATAGAGGGGACAGGGGTCAGTATATCTAGCCCTTGTTTTGTGAGCCGCTCCATCATAAAGCAGCAAGCGTACTGCTTGGTCCTCATCCAGCTACACTGAAACATGGTGAGTGGACACAGACTTCATTGTCATTGCATTTAATCTTGTTTAAAATACCAGCAGACTGTTGGGCAACATTCTGGTCCTGCTGCATGGCTAATGTGCTTATATAGTATATTATATATTTGTATATTAGACTGTCATGGTTTGTTTTGATGAATTACATCTTGCTCCTCTCACGCCAGTGATAATGGATCAATACACTCCATGTCAATATGCTTATGGGTGCTGAATACAGATTTTTTTTTTCTTTTTTTTAAAATAATCAATAGGACAGCACTCCAGTTGTCCTATTGATGAGTTATTGATTATATTTGTCTACTCACAATGATGACATCTTTAAAAAATGAGAACATAAGTAATTGTGGCTTGCAGAGGAAAGCAGATAGGAGGGAGGGAGACGGAAGGAGACCTTGGACCTTTAACTAATCTTTTAATGGTTCTATTTTTCCTTTTTACATTGGAACCACACAAGGAACTTTAACACACACACAACTGCTGTACATATTTACATATTTAAGGAGAGGTAAAGAGAGAAGGGGAAAGAGGAGGAAAGGAGAGAAGACAAGAGAGGATTAGAGGACAGGAGAGGAGAGGAGATAAGACGAGACAGAGGAAAGGAGGAGGAGGAGGAGGAGGAGGAGGACAGGAAAGGACAGGAGAGTAGAAAGAAGGAAAAAATAGAAGAGGAAACAGGAGGAAAGGAGTGGATCCACACATGGGTGAAGGTTTAGTTTGAATTTTTTATTGGACACATTAAGTGTAGGGTTTGAGGGCCCTTGTGCAGCAATTCGTGCCTTCTCTGTCTTTGTCTGTATTATTGTATTTTTAAGTAATGTAGTAGTGGTTTTTGAAAAAAAAAAAAAAGTCCTCTGTTTCTTTTAAATTTTATTAAGGGGGCAAATGCTTTTGTACTAAATATACAGAAGGACAAATCCCCTCTGCCACCAACCCCAACCTCCACCACACTGAAATCTATTACAATGGAAGCACAAGAAGAAGAGCAAGAGAAGAGGACAGAAGACAGGAGTAAAGTAGAGTGAAGGAAACAAGAGACAAGAAAGGAAAGGAAAGGAAAGGAAAGGAAAGGAAAGGAAAGGAAAGGAAACATGGATATGAGATTAGTGGAACAACAAGAAGAGGAGACAGGTAAAGTAGTGAGTCGAGCAAAGAAGAGTGAAGGTGAGGAGAGTAACAGGAGCAACAGGTGCAGGTCACAAAGAGGTCAAAAATAATTAATGCATTATTTTGAACAATAAAGTTTCTGCAATTTCAATCATGATCTCCACTGGCAGCATCATGAAATTCTCCCTCATTTCCCCAGAGTACACGAATCCTCTTAAAACAAAATAAAGAAATAAATGAATCTGAGCGCCAGAGGTCCCGTCCACGAGATATACAAGTGCTTGCGAGTTAATCCACAACAAGGGTTAGACAGCAGCTGTCGAGAGGCCCGTGAATCCAAGCAAAATGATGTCATCGCGCTGCATCCCCTTACACTGTTTTTCACAGTTCCTTGGCAGTCATGTAAATAGCTCAACATAATCCTTCCCTCCGAGGGATTTCTGATCAAACAGGGCTCAGTGTACCATCCTGTCATCACCCAGGCCCTATAGAATAATCCCTCATGTGATCCTGGGACTATGGGAGTGCAGGCATTGGACCACACCCTCCCCAGGCTTAGTCTGCATTCTCACAAAATTGGAGGCTTGAGTAAATATTTCCATAACAAACTGACAGTGTTTGTAATCCTTCCTAATGAAATGCGTGCCCCAGTATAAACCTTGCCTGTTGTGCATTTAATGCCCCCACACTTGGTAAGTTTGCTGATCATTGGCTCGTTATCATAGAAATGCATGTGTGACAGTAAAACCGATAACGAGTGAAGCTGAAGCAGAGAGCCAGGTGATGATCGTGTCATTAGTATTGGATCTAATTAGAGTGTCATCGTCAAACCCTGCAGGCACCGAAGAAAGCAAAGAAGAGAGCAGAGGGAGCCAGCTCCAATGTGTTCTCCATGTTTGAACAGGCCCAGATCCAGGAGTTCAAAGAAGTCAGTGCTGTGCCAAATGTTTTTTCTTTCACATTGAATTTGAGCAGTTCACTCAGTGGTGGGGACACGGCATGTAACAATCACACTTCTGCAGGCTTTCACTATCATGGATCAAAACAGAGACGGCTTCATTGACAAGAATGATCTGAGGGACACTTTTGCAGCCTTAGGTAAGACCATCGAGTGTCTTTTTTCTGTTGTGATGGCTTCACATGATTAAATTTCATAAGATTGTCCAGCAAAAACATCAAACATCCTCAAGAGCTAACCTTTTAAATGTACGCATTTTCTTGTCTTATGTGATGAAAAACTTGAATATCTTTCAGTTTAAAAAAAAACAAGCAATCTGAGGAAGTCACCTTGGGGCGGTGGGAGGTGACGACGGCCATTTTTCACTGTTTTCCGACAGTGTATCGACCAAACAATTAATCTATTAACTGAGAAGATAGTCATGAAATTAATCAATAATGAAAATAATCATTAGTTACAGCCCTAACCCTATTCCACCTCATGTCCCATCTTTCTCCAGGCCGTTTAAATGTCAAACAAGAAGAGATTGATGACATGCTGAAGGAGGCACCGGGACCGGTTAATTTCACTGTGTTTCTCACCATGTTTGGAGAGAAACTAAAAGGTGAACAAGGATGTCATTATATGACTTCTCATAATACAGTATGTGTAGGTACCAGGAGCATAGCAATTTTAAGAAAAAAGAAAAAAAAAGTCGCCATTGTTTTAATTTAACTCCAAACAAATTTTTTCACCTTCAGGTGCTGACCCCGAGGAGACCATCCTCAATGCTTTCAAAGTCTTTGACCCTGAAGGAAAAGGCTCATTAAAGAAAGAATTGTGAGTAACAGTGTAGTGTGTGAGCACTTGATGTAGTGAGTGTCCAGTCTGCTCACCATCACTGCTTGTTTTTACAGTGTGACAGAGATGCTGACAACCCAGGCAGACAGGTTCTCCCCTGAAGAGGTTAGTGGTCCGTCTCGACACTGGATAATAACACGTTTTAGTGTTGTTGTTTTTATTTTTAAATTCAGTCAAGAATGTAACTTATCTGTACTTCACGGCCACAGATGGAACAGATGTTTGCGGCATTTCCTCCAGATGTAGCAGGGAACCTTGACTACAAGAACCTGGTCTACGTCATCACACATGGTGAAGAAAAAGACCAAGAATAGATGAAATAATTCTGAAATTCTTGCCCTCTGGACATTGAAACCAATGGGTCATGTTTGTGCAGAAATATGTCCATGATCACACAGCAGAAACAGCTAGTTTAAAATAACAATTAACATTTCAGCTTCAATGTTTTGATGGACACATGTATGGATGTGTTAACTATGGATTACTGGAATGTTATGATATGTAGATGTTTATATATTATGACACTATGTATATGTCATTGCTTTAGCTGGAATAAAAAGTTAATTTGATCACAGAAAAATACACATTGAAAACACAATCATTGGTGTAATACTTGTTATGACATGAATGAATAAAAGAATGGTTGACATCACTGGCAGCAGCACTGAAAAAGATATTTATACTGATCCACTTACATTTGCAGCGTTAGTATAACTGCAACGTTTTGATGGTGAGAGATAGACTAGCAGGCCACTCCCAGAGGTTTCCATTCTCCATTTGATAGATTTCCACGTGGCTTTACTTCCTATAGTTGCAGTGGGAGAACTGTTTCAGTAGTGATTTTTAATTAGCTGCATATGGCCATTTGAGTGTTATTTCAGTGCTGACTGCAACCCAGGAGCTCCATGTCCCACTGTTGCAGCAAATTTCTTTAAGTGTATGCATATAAGGAAGGGCATTGCTGGCTAGACAGTGTGTCCTCAGAAGTGAAGGTCAGCCTTTTAGCCAAAGGAAGCTGTTTCCACTCATTAAACAGCAACCTATACCGTGTCTTTTCAGGGATGTATCTCTATTTTGTTTTTTTTAGATACATGAGGTTCACGTAGTCTATGGTTTACTCTTTATCATTAGTGAACCTAATATCTACTTACACCTCATAATGCAAGGTCATTCAATATTGTATAACATTAAAAATATGCTAGATTTGTTGAAGAGAAATGTAATTTGTTGCCACACTAAAATACTCGTTGCTTCAACTGACTGCCAACCAATTGTAGTACTAGAATACTGTGCAAAAGTCAAGCCAAGTCATCAGTATGTATATAGCCCATACATCAGAAATATGTGTAGATCATTATGTGTTATGTGATATAAATAATAAAATAGCAATAAAATATAAAATAAATACTCTATTAAAAGTGCAAAAGAGCAGTTGTTAGAATGTGCTGTAAACTGGGAGTGTCATGGTTCCTGCAGCAGTCTCTACACAACCATGGGGAAAAAGTTGTGTTTTAGTCTGTTGGTACGGCTCTCATGACTCTGAGTCTGCCAGAGGGGAGGCTGGTAAATACAGAGTGTCCTGGTTGGGTTTGGGTCATTCCAGATCTTTGTGGCCCGTCGGAGGAGACGATTCAAGTAGATCTCCTCTAGGTGTGGGAGTGAGGAGTCAATGTTCCACTGAGCCGTCTTGATGACCCACTGAAGTTGTTTCCTCTCCGATGCAGCGCAGCTGCCATACCACACTGCACATCCATAGGACAGGACACTCTCTATTGTGCAGCGGTAAAAGTTTTTCAGCAGAGGTTGAGGGAATTTGTTCCTCCTCAGCGTTCTGAGAAAGAAGAGACACTGCTGGGTCTTTTTGACAATGTGGGTGGTGTTCACAGTCCAGCCCAGATAGTCTGAGATGTGCAGTCTGAGAAACTTAAAGTTTGTGACCCCCTCCACTTCTTCCCCATTGATGCTCAGGCCTGAGTGCACTGTGGTCCTTCACTTCTGAAAGTCAATGA